GCCAACCCTCCTGCTATTTCTTCTTACCCTGCCTTACAGTTCCTGCCCTTGATTCATTGCAACTTCAGTATTGCTATCTTTAAGTAAATTTGAAGGACTATTACAATAGTACATGACTGCAGCAGTAATTAGACAACAAACTCCAACTGCTATTCCTATCGCTAACATTCCTGAGTAAACTGCAATAGCTATTCCTGAAACAATTCCAGACATTGCAAATGCAGAAATAGCTACAACATACATTTTTGTATTTTGGGAATCTGATTGCATACCTTGTTTGCTATCGCTTGCTGAAACCTTTAGTAAAGATCTATCTTCAGAGAAATAAGGAGCAGAGTTACTACCACTATTCCCAAAGCTGCTTTGATTCTTTAGTATAATTTCTGAACGCTCTTCATCACCTTTAGGATTCGATGATTGAGACAATGTTGGATTTGACTTATTATCACTGATAGAATTCATCGATGAAGATAATTTTAACTGATAATCTTTTTCATACTCATTATCAGAAGAGATAGTATGTTCTTGTGTCAATATTTGTAGTTGACCGCTTATTGTGGAAGTACTTTTATTGCCTAGGTTATTAAGCTGTACACTCTTGGCTTGAACATTGTTATGTAGTGTTGTGTTTCCAGTGCTAGCGGCATAATGTAAAGGAGTTCGCACGTATTTATCCCTTGCATCAATATCTTCCTCTATTTTTATTAGAGCTTTTACTCCCTCTTTATCACCAATCTCAGCAGCATGAGAAGTATATCTATCTGTATTGACCTTTATCACGGGTGTTATTTTACCTACGAATTGAATGTTATCATTTCTAATACTTACTAAACTTTCCGGTTGTAATACTTGTGTAAAACTCTCTTGTATTACATGATCTTTACTTTCTTGTCCTAAAGCTGGCTTTTTAATAGTAGGAAAATTAGTAATATCATCAAAATTGAGAGTTATTGAATTATTTCTGGAAAGAAAAATTACGGCTTGTGATATCCCATAATTAAGAAACTTCTGTGCTATTTCACTAATATTATCAGCAATAAACTCTACTGAAAGTCCAGCAGCATTCTTTTTGCGAAATTTGTTAAAAATTTTAGCATTAACATGAAGAGTAGCTTGTTG